GCTCAAATACCGGACCCTTTTTCGATTCGCATATCGAAAATCCCTTTCATTCTTTTTACTTTGTTAAAGTCAAGCTAAAGTTTCAATGACATATCGAGGGACTTTAGACCAACGATGACATGATTGGGAGGAAATCATCCCCTTTTATTCTTTTAAAACTGATCTCTGCTCATGACTTGACATCACCCAGAACACCTTTACTTGTAAAAGCGTTCTACAATTGCAAAGAATCAATCTAGATTCTTTAGCGCATTAAGACTAGGGGAAACTTTTTCTAGCCTTAATAGCTATTTGTATCAAACACTCAGCGAACCAAGGACTATTTCGACATCCTTAAACCTTACTGAAAGATTCTCTAACCTTGGAGAACTTCGTAGAATGAGTCTCAGATTTTTCCTTGACTACTTTGATCATCGTCTATTCTAGACTCGATCAAAGTGGGGGCTAACTGTAGACATCTACTTTTAGCCTCCTGTTCTGATAAGAAGTGCAATGACGATAAATAAAACCATCTTCGTGTTGGATCAAAGTAAAGAATGCTTATGGATAACTGGTTAAGCCACAAAACACAAAAGACTAGCCTAGATAAAAGAACAAGGCCAATACAAGGTCCAAATTAACTAAACCCGATCATAATTAGGCTTAAGCCCGTGCTTAAAACCAAATAATGACAAATTTAGGAGCGTCTAGGTTAAAATAAAAGCTGCCGCAGAAAATATCGCGCGCATTTCACAAAGTCGCGCGCAACTTCTTAAGTTGCACGCGGCAGGCCGCGCAACTTTCAGAGATGCACTCGCGTAAGATTTAGAATATTAAAATATTGGAAAATCGAATCTTACCATAGAGCTACGCGTAAGGCAATTAGTTGCGCGCGTATACCGCGCGCGACCTATTCACTTGCGCTCGACAGACGCGCGCAACCCACTCAGTTGCGCACGACACCTGCTGCGGCAGAATGCTCTAAACCCTAAACCTAATCATTCCCTATAAATAAGACCCTAATCCGAGGCTTCAAGACAGAGAAAATTAACCTAAAATCTGGCAGAATACTTGTGAACTTGTGCATCCAAACCCTCTTGTCCTAAACACTCACCCTTTTTGATATTTTGTTACTACGGTGGAGGTTCCCCAACAAGGAGTCCATAAGTGTTCTAAACGGAGATATAGCAAAGAGAAGTGGTAAATTCCCGAGCACTTAGTTAAATCACCATTATTTTTTATTGTTTAAAAGAACTTTAATTTATTAATTAGTGTTGTTTGATTGCCTTAAAATAATAAATTAATTAATTTCACATAGTATTCTTTCGTTAATCAAGATTAGAATTGAATAAAATAATTGTTGGTTGATCACCTAAGTCAAGGCGAATATTTCTTTATTTTATTGTTCTTTTCACGAATTTGATTAAATAAGAATAACGACCTTACGATGTAATTCCTATGTGAATTAATGTGTGTAAATAAAATCAATTAACATAGTTTTTAGGTATCACATTGCATATATTGTTTGGCAATGAAATTGTGCAAAGGAAGAGCTAGTAGAGGCCGCACTAGGGCTAGGATCGTGATTCCCCTCTAAAGGGAACGTTATCTTAGTACCCTCGCTCCCAAACTCATTTCTGGTTTTCTAGACCAATTTGGGCATGGGTAAACTTATGATTCATGCTAAATATCCCTTGAACTCTACTTGGGAGAAAGGCATGAACGAGGTTTATGGGTTTTTCCTAAAACTCATTGGCAACTCCTACTTATTTCTTACAAAAAAACGTATACGATAGAATCATCTCTAATTCAAAGGTCTCCCAAACAGTCAAGAATTCAAATCCTAATACACCTTAACAAGTGTAAAGTCCTAGGCTTTAAAGGGCCATGGGCATCTAAGGAGAAGGATTCCCTACGATGGGAACACCCTCCTTACAGAAGGCGACCTCTCCGCCAAGTTGAGCAGCATCGCATCATGGAACATGTGGCGTGGAGGAGGAGCAGGGACGACGAAGATCTCTGAAGAGTGCTGAATAGCAATTCTCTCTCCTAGGTACACCTCCACCTCATACGTCCCCTGAAAGTAGCGACGCTCGGCGGTTTACTGCGCAGCCAGCGCAGGAATAACCAGACCGTCCCAAGGCTGGTATAACACCTCAGGATCCTGCAAAATATGTCTGTAAGATGAAGCCCTGCCAAAAAACAATACAAAGGATGACAACTATTCAAAAAGAACATACCAAGAGGATTAACTCTCGGACATGGGCAATAGCCGCCTGGTCACTGAAATAACCTCCCCAACAAGCGCCAACAGGGAGCTCGCGAGGAGATGGTCTCGCTAGCGCAAGCAAAGGAAAGTAATCGTAGAACCAAATCTACAAAGATATAAGGATGTCAGCAAATGATAATAAAAGTATAGACCTAACCTTTAAAGAGATAAAGTATACCTCTACGACTCTCTAGAAGCTAGAGAGTGAGATGTTTCCTGTGTAAGACCGGTGGCGACAGGAGTCTCGCAATCCCCGCAAGAAGTCAGTGTATGCCAAGCTGGCCCAATCGTAAGTCCCGATCAGCTGAAGATCGCGAAGAGCAGGAAGGTTGTAAAGTAGTACCCGACTACCCTTGTCAGGGGAAAAGGTCCCTAACAGCAAAACAAGTGCAAAGATGTGCACCCGCTGCTCTCGGGTGGTCGCATCGTCCTCAAAAGCCATTGCCAGAGTCGACCGGCGAATGCACCTGGAGCTAAGTCGTGATGGATCCACCTCAGCACGGGCCCGAACAACGATCGGACCCAACAACTCCTTGACTATCGAAGAGAAAGCACTAATAGAGCTGTCGAACGGCAGCGCAGTCAAGCGAAACTTCAGTCACGAGATGAGACTGAAGTCAAATGGAGTGACATTCATCTCACCCCAAGGAAAGTGAAAAGTGTTGGTAGTGTCCCAGAAGTACTCCACCAAAGCTCGAACCACGTGGTGGCTCGCGTCGAACGAATATATGGCCTGAGTAGCCCGGAATAGGGCAGTCAGCCCACAGGACTCCCAAAGCAGTCGCAGCCCCTCATCGCCATGAAAATACTTGTTGTACAGCTTGTCTATGGTCTCGTTCCCCAAACCACGACTGCGCGTCCTACCACAAACAATCCCACGACTGCGTGGCCTCTCTGAATGATGATTTCGACCTCGTACAACAGTTTAGGTTTCTTGGTACGCCAGTTAGCCCCTATAAGTAATTGACATGATTTAGTAATCGGCTTGTTTACAATCACATTAAGTGATCGACCTGATAAATGATCGTCTCACTTAGCTTAAAACGCCTAAACATTGGCTCATCGCAAAAGTACCAACATAATGGTCTAAACAGCAAATCACCGACATATTGGTTCACAAACAATAGAAATACCGACATACTGGTTCACAAGCAGCAAAAGCGCTGACGCACTGGCATAGCAAAAGCAAGTTCAAGCGAACTTTAAAGGAACGACAAGCGTTGGTCTTCGGTGATATTCTTCAGAATATTATCACAACAAATGAAGATCGTTTCAAGAGAAGCAGTATTCGATAGGATTCTCTGGCTTGCAGAAGACTATCACAGTGGAAATTGGAGGCAGTTACAAGCATATCAGTCTTCAGGCAGTATCCCCTAGCTTGAGGAAGATCGTCAAAGCTCTTTGTTCAGAAACGCGTGAACATATTCAAAAAAGCTCTTTGTTTAGAGACGCGTGGATATATCAACATCAAAACAGCAAGATAGTGTTCCCTAGCTTGTGGAAGGTTGTCACAATGACAATGCAGCAACAAATCAGTTACTCCCAGAGACGTGTGCTCGACGGTGTAAGATACGCGTTTCTTAACTCTTTTATATGTTTTAACTAACGCTAGTTTGCATGTATCGGCATTACAAGAATGATTTAGGATTGCAGAACGTTCTAAATCATTCTCCGTCCCTATCGATACTTTGACTTTTGTTTTCGAAACTTGCGTTTCTCCAAACTCAGTCAAAGTGGGAGATTCTGTAGACACCCATTTGTGTCTCCCCAAAACCAAACCCGGTGATGAATACCTTTCACGTCAAACCATAATCGAATGAAGTGAAAGTATGGAAAGTTTAGTGTTGCGGTTAATTTTTATTAAAATTCTCTTCTTTCTCTCTCTTTTTCGAAAACCTATTTTATGAAAATATCCAATCCACTTTAGTTTGGTCCATAACAAGGGTACAATAATAGTGTAGTTGGATTGGGTTCGAAAAAAGCTTTCCAACGATATATTATAAGCCCAATTTCGATGAATAATGAGGAAGTTATGGCCAAATTACTGAACTGGGTCCGGTTTGATCCTCATATGCGGCCTAATGATCAAGAGGAGGGCCTATTATGATTTATCATTCCTAATGCAATTAGAATTGATTATAGTCTTCTAGAATCTTCTTTTGAATCCTAATGTGATTAGCATTGATAATTGAGTTTTATGAGTTTTATTTAGAATAAAAGGAGTGTTTTAAATGAAATTACGATTTTACCCCTCGTACGCTTAATTTTATCAAAAAATATGAAAACGTGTGGAAAACTGCCTATAGCGCCGCACCACAGGCTGTCGCCTGGCAACAAGCCTGTCGTGCGGCGACAGAGGCTATTGCGGCGCCAACGTCGTGTTTTATTCTTCTTGAAACTCCGATTCTTTTTTATCATATTTCGGCTTAATTTTATTATAAATAGCATCCTTAAACCTCCGTTTTAAATGATCAACTCTCATCAAGAATTCTCTAATTCTTCTCTCTCTCTAAGCTAAAGCTTATTCTCTCCCTCTCTTTCTAAACCAACCCTTTTTACAAATAAAATTTTGCATTCACAAGATCTAGACACACCTAGCCAAGTTCGAAGTTGCCTTCGCCCTAGACGTGAAAGGTTTGATATTTCTGAGGTTTTGGTCCCAAATCTTTATTTTAATTATTTAATTTAATTGTTTGATTTTATATTTTCCTTGAAGTTACTAACGTGTGTATTTTGTTATTAAAAAGAGATACAAGGCATCCAAGTAAGTGATTTAATTGTTTAATTGATATTTTCACGCCCAAGACTATATTATCAATGCTCGGTCAACAATAGAGTGGAATGAGTTTAGGGATAGACTTGCTAAGAAGATGTTTAAAGAGTATCAAGGGAGGAGACTTCGAATTTTAACTACTTAATGAAATGGATAATAGGTGATTAATGGTTTTTATTTATAATTATATGCTACTTTAATTATACAGCTAGGTCTGCCTTGAATGTGTTGTGTTTTTTCTGATTATATGGTTTTTATTAGGTCTATTTTCATTTAAGGACAGTGTTTAGTGCTTGAATGTGTTGTGTTTGCCAACATTTATTGTTGATAGATTTACCTAAGTTATGCATGACACGATATATGCATCACAGATTTTTTTTTAGCTGACTTTTTTTTTTTTTTTTTTGCTGTTTATCTTGGCTGTCTGCTAATGTTTACATTGTGATATTTAGGAACAATGACTTCTAAAAGACAAGTCAAACAACCTATGGGTCCTCCTAATAGAAGAGGATATGTTTCGTGGAATTCAAAAATGGATGAGATACTTACTAATACATTGTTTGAGCAAATAAATGAAGGGAACAAGGGTGATGGATATTTCAAGTCACAAGCATATCAAGCCGTGGTTGACAAGTTAAGGGCTGACTTGGGCATGTCTATAACTGTAGATCATGTTAGGAATCGGATTAATGTTTGGAAGAAGCACTATTCTGTTATTCCTAAAATTCGAACTTACACGAAGTTTAAATGGGATGAAAAAAAGAAGATGGTGGTGATCCCTCCAAAACAGCTTGCTGATTGGTATATGTACTGTATGGTATGCTTCATTTATTCCTTGTTTCATTGAATAGGCTATAACATGCAAGCTTGTTTCTGGGAATTATTTCATGATGGCTTTTTGTGGATTTTTGAGTAGTTATATTTAAATCAGGGACCATTCACCGTTGCATATCAGAACAGATTATTGCTGATTATATGTTAAATTATTGCAGTTTTTATGATTATAGTTTACCTTACATTGATGTTGATTATTGCTAATGTAGGAAGCTACCCAAGCCGCTGCATATCAGAATAAATTCATTGAGAATTGGGATGATATTTGTACTTTGTTTGCTTCGGATAGAACAACTGGGGAGGGAGCTGAGCATCATGATGAGGCTGTTGATGCAATGGACACCGAAATTGAAGGGGGTAGTACCTCCGAGACTTCTTCTGGAGGATCAAATAAGAGGCTCAAGAGAGATCGTCTAGCAGATGTAGTGAGTTATTTTGCAGAGTCATTAAAGGACTATGTGAGCAGAACGCAAGGGCCACCGAAGCCAAGTTCACAAGAGATCTACGAGGTAATCTCGAGTGTACTTGGGATCTCGCGTCACCAAGTCCTACAAGCTGTGAAAAGGTTCATGAATGGGACAAATGATTTCGAAATGTTAAAAAATCTATCGGAGGGGGAAAATTAGATTGGGTTTTATTATGTATTAATGATTAGTATCTTTATTTAGATGTTTGTGAACTAAATCTACTAGCTAGATCTTGATATGTTGTCTTTTTGTTTACAGTTTGTTACAAAATATACCTTGGTTTAAAATTCAGAATTTGAAATTCCTTGTATTTCCAAATAGCTATTAGAATTTGATATTCAGGATTTGAAATTCATTGTCTTGCCAAACAACTTTTAGAATTTGAAATGCAAAATTGTAAATTCTTAACTTTTCCAAACATAGGACTTGGAATTGAATTCTAGGTATTAAAATTTTAAAATTGAATTCAACTAATTGAAATGAAATAAGTGTATCCAAACGCAACCTTATGGATTTTCAATTGCTTTCATCTTGGAAAAATTTGGAGTATGTGGGTTGTTTATCAGATTTGGGATTTTAAATATTCAAGGGAAGGTAATTGGGGCTTTATTTTAGCTTTAAACTAATATAAGAAAGAAGAGGAAGAATGGAGAAGAAGAAGTAAGAAAGTGGGGAATAAGAGAAAAGATTGAAATCAAATTAGCTTTTTTACCTTTATCTTAGTTGTCTAGGTAACCAGTTGACCTGTTTTAATAGGTTTTTTTTTACATAATAAAAATTAATACTATTACAAGGTTGATGTGTTGAGAAATAATCAAAAGGTTGAATAATATAAACGGATGGCCAAAACGTTAACTTAATATTTACAATTTTCCTTTTTTTTCTCTTTGCATAGTATATTATTAAGAGGAAATATCCTCCAAAGTTACAATACTTGGAGAAATGAATTAAGATGTTCATATTTCCTAAAAAACAAAATTAAGATGTTCTTATTCCACATTCCCACGCCCATATAAAAGCTTCTTAGGTATAAATTTACTCAAAAAGTAAAAGTTATTCAAATTTGACTACAAGTCAATTTGTAAATTGGGTGTACACAAGAGTGTTTTTTGAAAAGAAATATATATATATATATATATATTACTCTTTCCATTTTTAAATACTTGCTTTATTTTTCCATGTGCGGAGTTTTAGGATAATTAGATAAAGTAAATATGGAGATAGTGGGATATGTAGAAAAATAAAAAATTGTAAAATGCAAAAGTAATTGAGAGAATTGGAGGAGAAAATATGAAATAATAAAATATTATTTTATGGTGGGTACCCTAAGGGCTTGTTTTCATTGACTGAACTGAACTTAATTGAACTTATTAAAGCTGAACTGAAATGATCTGAACTTATTAGAACTAAACTCAACTGAACTGAACTGGACATAAATGAACTGAACTAAGCTGAATTGAAATGAATATTTTATAAGAGAAGGAAATTAAGAGCTGAATTGAACTTATTAGAGCTAAATTAAACTGAATTGAAGTTATTAGAGTTGAACTGAACTGAAAATAATTGTATGAGAATAGACTTTAAGTGAAAGAACTTTATTAAATATTGTAAAAGCTTTCCAAATAAGGAAATGAAACAAGTATTTTAAACGGCTGGAAATGGAAAGTAAAGCAAGTATTTAAAAATGGAGGGAGTATGTTATTTTTTTAATAGTACATTTGGATAACTTAGGCCCTATTCTTTTGAGATGCTCTGCTCTACTGAAATTTCCTATGCTCTGTAGTCTAGGAAAGCCCGGTCATACTCTACTGAAATTTGTTCTATTTTGCTCAAATTTACTCTGCCCTACTTTGCTCTACTCTTCTTTTCCCATAAACTCAAAAGAATAGGACATTATGATATAATCCTAAGTGAAAACTACTCCGTAATTCGTATTATAAATTCTCATAGATTTGCCCAAAAACATCAATCAATAACAAGAGTATTATGATATTGTTAATACTCAGTATGATGTTACTATTTTATTTACTAGTATCACAATTTTTATAATAGAATTAATTTGTAAAGAAAATAACAAGAGTATTATGAGATGGTCTAAGGCCCTGTTCTTTTGAGCTTCTGGGCAGAGTAGAGTAGGGGTCAGCATAATAGAGCAGATTAAATTTCAATAGAGTGGACTACTACTACTACTACTACTACTATCATTAAGTGCATATCAACATATACGATTTAGGTGAGTGAAAACATAAATATATGTGTATCATATTTAATATATGTTAATAGTAGAAAAATAAAAGACAACGGTTTACTTATATTTATTTCACAAAAATTTTATGATTTAATGAGTAATAACGATTTTACTTATAAATTTGTCTTAATCATATATTTTTTACCCTAAAAATAATCATAATATAAAAAAGTAATACTTGAAAACAACCTCCTTTTTTTTTAATCTTAAAATGTATGGAAAGATTTGAAAAATAATTCAACTCAATGAACTAACAATCAATACCCACATAAAATGTTTCTACACATTGTGATTCTAATATCAAATGTTTACAAAATAAATGTTTATTAATTGTTGTTGTTGTTGTTATTGTTATTATTATTATTATTATTATTATTATTATTATTATTATCATTATTTTTGAAAGAATTGTTATAATTATTAGAAATTATTAATTAATAATATTATTAAGTATTAATTCTTAATAGTTTAAATTATTAAATTTTATTATTGATAATTATTATTAATTATTATGATTAATAAATATTAATTATTATTAATATTAATATTATTAAAATTATTTTTAATATCAATAATTATCATAATTATTCAAAATAATAAATTATTATCATCAATACAATATTAATTATTATTATTGAATATTAATTATTATTGTTGTTATTATTAATTATTTTCTGAAAATAGAACAGAGCAGAGTAGAGCAAATTTCTTTTGAACAGAGCAGAGCAGATTTAATTTGAGCGGAACAGCTCTAAAGAACGGGGCCTTTTTTTTTGCACACTTAAGCTAGTCTATTAATTAATACTAAAACAAAACTTTGTTGATGTCATCATTGTCCATATGTCACTCTCATAATAAAAATTTTCCCGCCTAAATGCATGATGATGTCATCTTCTTCTTTTTTTTTGAGCTATTATATTTAATAGATTTTGAAATTTGAGTAATAGAAACTTCTATATTACAAATACAACATATCAATTTATCCTTAAAAAATGAGATAATTTTAAGTTGTACACTAATAAATAGACTCCTACATTAAAATATGTATTAGACAAAGTTGAACAGGTTTTATATCATAATTTTGAGAAAAATCTAAAATTTTCAAAATACAGATATTTTGTACAAGGTGCATATTTTTATTTATATTTATACATTAATGTACAAATTATAAAAATAAATTTTATATAAATCGTGCATCGTACGGGTTCTAATCTAGTTTAAAAAATAAAGTAAAAACCAATGGAATTTTTTTTTTTTTTTTAATAAATAAGTTTACTATGGGTTTCTGGTGCAGCTGGCCGCACCATGCGGCATGTTGCCAAATCAGCAAATGACAAAGTAACCCCCAGACAAAGTAACCCCTTACTGACTTAGTAACCCTTGACCAACTAACCCCTGACCTAGTAACCCCTGATAACCCCAAGTAAACCCTAACCGACCTAGTATCCCCAAGTAACCCCCGACCTAGTAACCCTAAGTAACCCCTAACCGACCTAGTAACCCCCGACCTAGTAACCCAAACCTAGTAACCCCTGACCGCCGACCTAGTAACCCCTAACCAGACCACCTAGTAACCCCTGACCGGATCTAATCACCCCTTACCCTCCACCAATAAAAAACTACCACCAACAACCACCACCAATGAACCACTACCAACCTAAACGCCTTGCCACTAGCCCTTAACCCACAAACAAACCCCGATCCAACCAAACCATTTAAAAAAAAATCAAGTCAAACAAATAACTTAAAATGTTAACAATGATTTCGAATATCACTTCAAATATGGCAAAAAAGGCTAAATTTGACCATGAAAATATTAGATCTAGAGTTTTCATGGCTGAATTTGACCTTAAAAACCTTGAACTTGTTCTTCGGCAACGGAGTTACCAAAACACCACTACCCTCCCAGCGAAACCACTACTTCCGACGAATGAACCATTGACGAATGAACCATGAAGACAACAATTGCGAAATTTGTGTTACGTTCTCTGAGAAAATGAGATGAAGGTTCCGGCTTGAAGAAGAAGAAAAGAGGAGAGAGAAAAAGAAACTTTTTTTAAAAAAATTGTGGCTGTGAAACTTTTTAATAAGTTTAAACATTATCCACGAAGACAAGGACAATCCTTTCTTCATTCTCCCCCTCACAGACCTCACTGGCTCACTGTCTGCATCATCAATGGCGTTGTATTCCAAAACTCTGACCTCAACCTTCCTCAACTGTAATGGTAATGGCAGCTCAATTAAAAACCACAAAACATCAAAAACTTCAGCTCGTCGTTCACTCACAATTCAAATGATGGCCTCAACAATGGAGTCATACGAAGAGGGAAATCTCGATAGACCCAAATGGACTGGTCAAACCCCTCTTTCTCGTCTTGTTGCTGCTCTTATTTCCTTCAAACCCCTTTATTCTGTCATGAAATTTGGTGCTAGACAAGCCCTTATCAGGTCTACCCTTTTTCTTTTTATTTTCACTTGAATTTTCAATTTATTTGGATTTTCCTGAGATATGTTTTTGTGTTTTCAGCAAAAAAATTGATTCTGAAATTGTTGTAGTACAATAGGACAGATTTGAATAGGTGCGTTTTTATTGTTTTGCTTGAATTAGTAGAAATTGTTTAGTTTTTGGTGTGGAGAGAGTCACAAAAGGCAGTGATGTAAACGAGATTAAATCTGAGGTCTTGGGTAGTAGATGTCTTACCTCGAGACTTTAATCAACTAAGTTTTTAGGCATTTGATTTATTGCTTTGAATTGTGTACATTGGGTTTTGTGAAATGGTCTTAATTTCCTTTGCTTAGTTCAGTTATCTTTACTGTCAGCGATTTTTTTTTTTTTTTTTTTTTTGTAAGTTGTGGGATTTGAAACAGTACAGCTGAGAAAACAGATATACCATGGAGGGAGATGACTAAGGAAATATTGGAATCGGAGGTCTACAACGAGATGGAGAGCGTTCAAAACCCGAATATTGTGTATCCAGATTGTAAATTCTCTTCTCTCTTGTATCTAATTGCAAGGCTTATAATGTGGTTGTTTTGTATCCGAACTAAGTTTAGGTTTGGCTTAAACAATGAGTTAATATGCTTTACTGTTGTAGTATTAGAAACTTGGTAAACAAGATGGAAATCATGATGTTATAATCCTTTAATGGGTGAGTGATTTAGTTAGGAAAAAAATATTGATTTGTTTGGCTTTTGAAAAATTTAGGATGATAATGTTGGACCATTGTGTTGTCATTGCAGATTATCTAAATCCTTTCCATGCTTATGATGAAGGAAACCTTTCATGGCTGGTAATTTGCTGATTCTTGTTTGTATTTTTGTATTTATTTTTTAGACCTCTACCACATTTATTATGGTGCTTTTATTTGTTGTGGAGAATGAGTTGGTTGTGATTATAAAAGGGTTAGATGTGTGGAAGCCTTCTATTAACCGCACTAAGAACACTGATAAGCATTGGCTAATTTGTAGGTTGAATTCAAACAAGCCTTATAATGGTTAATGAATATTATCGGTTTAGCCAAGAAATTTCAATGGCTCTAAGATACCATGGAAATAGATTAGTTACGTCAGCCGTCTTAAGAAATCAGATATAGGCAGTGAGGCAGCATGAAAGATTTATGGAGTGTTTTCCTTGCTTTGTTATTCCTCTGTACCGAATATTTATACAAAGACTTGAGCATAATCTAATCTAAGGCTATAAACTAGGAAACCAACTATTACTATACACGTATATCTAAGGCTATAAACTAGGAGGATAATTATGAGAGTAATTATCTCCTTTGACTAACAAATATATACAATATATTTAACACACCCCCATAGTCGAAGCGGGAGGGCAACGGACGCTAAGACTGTCCCGAAAATCCTCAAATAAAACTCGCGGAAGTCCTTTGGTGAAAATATCCGCTATCTGATATCGTGATGGCACATGTAGGACCCGAACTTCCCCACGTGCAACCTTTTCTCGTACAAAATGAATATCCATTTCAATGTGTTTTGTACGTTGATGTTGAATTGGATTTCCTGATAAATAAATAGCACTAACATTGTCACAATGCACAAGAGTAGCCTTTTTAATCGGACAATGTAACTCCAAGAGAAGATTCCGAATCCAGCATGATTCGGAGACAATATTTGCCACCCCTCTATATTCGGCCTCTGCACTGGATTTTGACAACTTGGGTTGGCGTTTAGATGACCAAGATATCAGATTGTCACCCAAGAAATCAGGGCACTCACCCCAATCTGCATTAGTATATGCAACCAGAGAAGAAATAGAAGATGGATAAAGATGTAATCCAAAATCAAGAGTACCCTGTACATACCGAATAATCCGTTTGAGAGCAGACATATTATCAACCCTCGGGTCATGCATATGAAGGCAAACCTGCTGAACGACATAAGAAATATCCGGCCGGTGAATGTAAGATATTGGAGAGCCCATGCAAGGCTCCGATACAGAGATGGATCATCAAAACTAGCACTAGTAGTAGCGCCAACCTTCGACTTTGGTCAACCAGAGTCGGAGACGGTTTATACGTTGACATCCCTGCACAGTCAATTATTTCCTCGGCATATTTACGCTGTGAAAGAAACAAACCACCCTTATGGCGAGTCACAGCTATACCCAAAAAATAATTAAGTGGGCCAAGGTCCTTCATAGCAAATTCAGAGCTAAGAAGTGACATGATAGAACATCGGAGGGCATTAGAAGAAGCTGTCAAAATGATATCATCAACATACAATAATATGTAAGCCATGTCAGACCCTTTCTGATAGAAAATAAAGAATTATCCATCGTGTTGTTAGTAAAGCCAAGAGACAACACATAATCAGCAAACCGCTTATACCAAGCCCTGGGTGCCTGCTTAAGTCCATAAAGTGACTAACGCAAGAGACAAACATAATCCGGATGAACCCAATCTCTGTAACCAACTGGTTGATGCATATAGACAGTTTCCTGCAATTCACCATGTAAGAAAGCATTTTTGACATCCAACTAATGTATAGGCCATGCCTTCGACAAAGAGAGACTAAGAACAGTACGGATTGTAGCTGGTTTGACAACCGGACTAAACGTCTCGCCACAATCGATGCCAACCTGTTGAGTTTTACCATCACCTACAAGACGGGCTTTATGCCTCTCAAAATCACCATTAGATTTGACTTTATGAGTAAAAATCCACATAGAACGAATAATATTCACATCAGGTGGACGGGGCACCAACTCCCACGTCTTATTTTTAATAAGAGCATTATATTCATCATCCATGGCCATTTTCCAATTCGGATCCCGCAAAGCCTCAACCGGATTACGAGGTAGAGGAGACCTCACAATCGCAGTATTACAAGAGTATTTCGGATTGGGCTTAAAAATCCCATTCCTACTTCTGGTCACGGCTTTGGGCCGCTGATTTGGAATAGAACTAGAAGTTGGGCCCGGCAGAATTGGAAGCCCAGAAGGTGTGGGATTGGCGGGCTGCTCCTGCTGGTCAAGCAATGGTGATGTGGGTTGGGCCGGGGAAGTGGGCTGATGTGTTTGAGGTGATAGGGGTCCGGTTGTGAAGGTAAAGACACATGGTGGACCGGTTTGGAAGGAGAATTTGTGGGCTGCAGTGTTTGGGCTTGTGGAGTTGGCGTCAGGCACAGTTCTGTAAATGATTGATAACATATGGAGAAATGCCACTGTCAAAGATATCATAGTAATAGGGAGGTGGAGAATGCAACTGTGAAAATGGGAAGCCATTTTCATCAAACAAAACATGCCGACACACAATGATTTTATTAGTGGATAAATCAAAGCACTTATACCCACGATGGTTACTAGGAAATCCCAACAAAAATGCAAGGCATAGACCTAGGCTGCAACTTATGAATAGTTGTAGAAGGAATTAAGGGATAACACAAACACCCAAAAACCTTTAAATGAGCATAAGACAGCACTCTTTTGTAAAGAACCTCAAGAGGAGATTTATTTCCCAACCCTTTACTTGGAATAATATTAAGGAGATATGTTGCCATTTGCAAAGAATGATGCCAAAATGAATGAGGTAGAGATGCATGGGCAAGAAGGGTACGAGAGATATTATTAAAAGTACGGATTTTCCATTCGGCTTTCCCATTTTGAGGAGATGTATGAGGACAAGAAAGAGGGAAAGACAACCCATTTTTCTTACAAAAATCCCATAAAAGGTCCATTATCAAATTCCCGCCCATTATCTCATTGAATATTTTTAATATTGCGCTCAAATTGAGTGGAAATATGGGCCTTAAAGGCTAAGAAATGTGGGCCTCCTTCAGAAAATTCCCGCAACTCTGCCTTATGAGCGTTCCCATGCCACTGTACGCCTTTGTGAGGCCACCCACTAGTTGAAGAACCATTCTACTATCCGACACAGGTGCTCCTACATTCTTGAGTTGATCGGCAAGCAATTTCAGACGTTGGCAGTATGCTGAAAAATTGGGAAAGTCCTCCAATTGAGTATTGGAAAACTCTTGCTCAAGAGTGACGGCCCGAGAATGTTGATTGTCTTGAAATATATCACGCAGCCTATTCCAAGCTTCCATGGCCGTAGCATCCGGTTCGATAATGGTATTGAGGAGATCACGAGAGATGGTTGCATATATCCACGATATAACCGTGGCATCAAGGGTTTCCCATAGTTCCTGTTCTTCCTCGGTAGATGGAACCTTCTCCTTGCTTTTATCTTTGTCAGCAGGGGGAATGATATGGTGAAGAACCCGATGAGATTTTGCGTGAATTTTGAACAATTCTGCCCACGTAGAGTATTGGGAATTTTCCATTTAAGGGGTAATGGAAATATTGTTCTTGATGTTGGGTACGGCAAGAGCCGGATGAAAGGATGAGGATTTGGATTCACCCATGGAGAAGAAAGAGATGAAAGAGAAGAAGAAAGAAGGATAATAGTGAGCGGTAAACCGAGGATTGCAGCGGAAGAGATGAAGGATTCGTGCCCTAGGCAACTGATACCATGAAAGATTTATGGAATGTTTTCCTTGCTTTGTTATTCCTCTGTACCGAATATTTATACAAAGACTTGAGCATAATCTAAGGCTATAAACTAGGAAACCAACTATACTATACACGTATATCTAAGGCTATAAACTAGGAGGATAATTATGAGAGTAATTATCTCCTTTGACTAACAAATATATACAATATATTTAACACTGCACAACATGGGAGACAGAAATTTCAATGGCACAAGCTTGCAAACTGATGTTCTTTTGCTTCTAGGATGCAAAACCTGAAAACTTATTAGGGAACTTTTCATGGGAACAAATATTATACCTGGGATAAACTTTCTAACCTTTTAAGCATCCAAACTTGTATAAAATCTTTGTTCAAATGTGAAATGGTCCAAGAGTGCAATTTGTTACTGATTGCATTTGTGAATGTAGGCTGCAGCAGAAGCAGAGCCTGCCACCATGTCAATTACTAGAAGAGCTATACCTGATGCTGCTTCCCTGGATGAAGCAATTGAAGTAGTACGTGGGAATTGGCTTCGAGTAATTGAGCAACATCATCTGGAATACTCTGGTAATTCTGTAGTTGCGGACATCTTAGACATAGGATGCTCTGTAGGTTGGAGCACAAGATTTCTGGCCAACAAATTTCCTTCTGCTAATATCACTGTAAGATTATGTTCTTATGCAATGTAGATCATGTAAAATGTTTTTTCATCAAGCTTTTTATAGTAGTAAGATAATTACAGTTGACTGTTGCAGGGGTTGGACTTGTCACCTTATTTTTTGGCTGTTGCTCAATACAAAGAGAAAAATGGATCATCAAGTGGAAAATGCATAAAGTGGGTTCATGCAAATGGTGAAGATACGGGTTTGCCGGCCAAGTCATTTGACATTGTCTCAATTGCTTATGTTGTATGTATCACCTAAACTTCTTAATCTAATCCATGTGAATCTGTGATAGTAACAGTCTCTGACTGATGCCTTTGATCTCTATATAAACCTCTCTTCACATTGCTTTCTTTTGATTAGTGCAAGCAAAAATAACCGAAATTTACAATTCAACTATGTGTAGTGTATGTAGTCTCATGTTACTTTTTCCTGATTTTCTCATCCTATATCTGAGTATGTAGTCAAAAATTAAGTCAACGATAAGATATAAATGTGAGGGATGCATTACTAGCAGCAGGCTTCACAGTCATCAGCTATAAAGGAGTGTGTTGTCATATAACCTTAATAATTGAACACTGAAAAACTAGTATGCCATGAAATTCTGTAACTCGGTAATTTAAGACTCCAACAAAGCTAACCAAATACTGTGGTAGATCTCTGGTTGAATAAAGTTGTATCATGAAAAATGTTGTCCATATACATGTTCATTGTAGTCTTCAAGAACCTTAGAAATAGTTTTTTTTTTTTTTTTTTTTTTTTTTTTGAGAACTTAGTTAAGTGAGTATTCACTAATTTTTTGCTCACATATCCAGCTTCATGAATGTCCAGCAATAGCGACAGTTAATTTGGTGAAGGAAGCATTCAGGCTTCTTAGACCAGGGGGCACCATTGCTATCACAGATAATTCAGTGAGTTATACATTAATCTCTTATCAACTTTTTTTCCCACTGCTATTGCTTTGATATACTAAGCATTTATGTTTTTTCCTCATCTGCAGCCCAAGTCAAAGAAACTTCAGGTAAAACTTCTAACCTGCATCTAGTTTGTGCATTAGTTGTGTTTACAATTTACTTTGAGCTTTAATATATAATAATTGTTGCTGGTGTTATATTCTTGTATTTATTGAATTGAGACCGACCTAGGACAAGTGAGGTGTTTTAAAGTAATATTTCATATATGTTTTATTATTTATTTATTTTAAGAATATTAAGGCATAGCTTATGCCTATTGCTGTAACTCCCTTTTGATGATGTTTCCTTTCAAAAATGTCCTTGTAATATCTTTGGATTACGACAACTATGCAATGAACCATTACGGATCTTTGGATTCATAGGGAATCGTAATATTTGCTTCCTCATCCTTCTGACATTCCCTATGTTTCTTGAAATGTAGACTCATTAAAAACCCAATTATCTATACTTAAGCTGATGTAGTTTTCTTTGTATATTTTAATTATTGTGTAACATGTATGCAATTTGATTATATCATGTAAGGAGTATGTCATGCAAAAGAATTAGAGACCACCCCTATCTTTTAATTGGGAATTATGAGTAAATGTTGTGTAATTTTAGTTTCTGTAGGTTAAGCTGAAATGGGAAAACCTTTTGTCTTACTTGCTCCACTTGAGCATTCAGCATGAATGCATGCTACTCGGGATCCTGTTGCTACTTCATGATCTGAATATTTTGTGGTTTGTAAGAAATAGATGGTGTTGATAATCCCCCCGTCCCTTATTGTTTTCATTATGCTTTTTACTCGGTTTGACCATCAAAATTTTTGATTTCTATTTTTTTAGCGAATTTAACTAGATCCCATATAGCTAGTCAATTCTAGATCCCATATCAATATGAAATCATAGTCGAAGTTAGTGAAATATTGACTCCAAAAAAGGAAATGGAGCAAATAGTTATACACTTACACTACGTAGTATATAACAAATGATTCCCCAATTGGAAAGTATTTATCAGTGGCATAAAACTGTACTGCGTATACTTTTCTTCAAAGCTTTCAAGTTATGAGAGTAGTATTAATTTTCATTACTATGGAAGTGAAGAATGCAAAACAACACATCTCAAATTCTCAATTCCTTCTGGTATCTCACATCTCAAATTCTCAATTCTCAATTCTCTAGGACTCATTGTTATCATTGCACTGCAGTTTAAACTGAACGGCTTGCTGTTGGTTTCATTTCAGGAACTGTCTCCGGTACTATTTACGTTAATGAAGAGCACAGAACCATTTCTTGATGAATATTACCTGCTTGATTTGGAATCTGCGTTGAGGGAAGCTGGATTTATTAATGTTCAAACGATTCTTACTGATCCCAGGCATAGGACAGTCACAGCAACAGTTCCACACTAAGTTTCCGCATTGAAGGCAGCATATATTATGTATATTCAGTAACATAACAGCATTATGACCCAAAACCAACTCTAGGAAAGCAACTGTAAAAGATAAGGTTGGTTCATCGATGGCCTATATATTCCATTTTTTTAAGGACATTATTTGCATGTAGTCATCAAAGCATGTATAAATTATGTGCAACTTTGTTTGTTACTCCGCATAAATTAAAAAGATCATCAAGGCATTCAATATAAGGAAAATTTGTCAAAAATGAGCTTTAATGTTAATATGTAGTACTTTTGTGAGAAATGACTTAATAAAGATTGTGGCACTTTTGGACCTTTAAATGCATTATTTTGTTGTTGACTAAGGCCTTTGATATGAATCGGCCGTTGACTACCATTTTTTGACGTTGACTGCCACTTTCTAACATTGATTGTCTACACTTGTTTTCATCGAACGCTCCGATTTTCCCCTTTCTCTTCTCAACCACTATTTCCACCATTCCACCACAAAGTCACCGGCCTATCACTTTTCGGCTTGGGTGGTGACTTCTATAGGGTAGTTGGGCAATGTTAGGTTTGAGGAGGAGAAAGAATAAGGTAAAGAAGGAAAAAACGAGAGGAAAAGAGTAGCTTGAGGAGAGCGGCTAAGAACGAGCTAGGTGGATGCAGGGTGGTGGCGTTCACTGTTTAGGTAAGATTAAATGGTTAACTTTTGACCGCCTCTTAATATACCTGACATCTGATGCATCATCTCACGCTCAACACAACATTCTATACCCCCGCTCTTTAGAGTTGCTCTGCTTTGCTCTACTCAAAAGAAATTTACACTGCTTTGCTTTCAAATAATAACAATAATAATAATTAATATTTAGTAGTAATAATAATAATTAATATAACATTGATGATGATAATTGATGTGTTTAAAATTATTATTATTATTATTATTTATTTTTATTAATATTATTATTTATTTATTATTAATATTTATTATTTAAAGAAACCTATAAGTATTAAAATTATCAGATAGTACAAGGTTATAAACTTAGAATATTTGATAATTTTATTATTCACAATATACCACTTCATAAATAAATCTTATATGTATATATGTAACCAATCAAATAAGAGATTATTAATTTTTTTTAGAATTAAATCATTCAAATCCCACACAAGCAAAATTGGCGAATGAGATTTTAAAGTTTAAACTAATTAAATAAAAAATATTATCTTTTGATATTAGGAATTTTATCTAAATATGTAACAAATTTTAGCACATATATAAAAAAATGTTTTAAAAAATTCAAACAAACCATGCATCGCACGGGCTTTATCTAGTTTTTTTTTTATTTTTTATTTTAGAATTAAAATTGAGATCCTTAAAAAAACTAAAATACAGATTTTATCATAGCTTTTTTCTATATATCTTTTATCAATTATTATCGTCAATATAATATTAATTTTTTTTTTTACCACAACAAATTCTAAACAAAACTAAACAGTATAGCTATTTAAGTTGACTCTACAGTTATTCGCAATGTCATGTGCCTTAGCAACCTATTCTCCTCCAACTTTCCATATGATGCAAGTTATTAACCTTCGTCCCACATGTAGATCTTGGATTGTCCCACATATAATATTAATTATTATTATTATTAAATATTAATTATTAGGAAAAATTGATTTTAATAATCCCACCTTTCATCGGTTCGCTATTAATAATCCCACCTTTTGATTATTATTAGGGGTGGGACTTTTTAAACCGAACCGTGAAACCGCCCGTTACCGAACCGAACCATCACGGACCGATCCGTTTATAAACCGATAAATATAAACCGAAAACCGAACTGAACCGTTCAATATCAAACCAAAACCGAATTGAACCGCTCAATGTCAACCCGTTACGGACCGTAAACCGATAACAAACCAAACTACGCAAATCCGAACCGAAACGAAACCGAACCGAATGGTTTATAAACCCGTTAATGACCCGAACCGTTTATAAACCAAAACCGTTTAAACAAAAAAAAACCGTTTAAACCGAACCATTTGTAACACGCTAACCGTTTAAACCGACCCGTTTATGAACCGAAACCGTTTAAACCGCGTATAAACCGAACCGTTATAATCCCCTAACCGTCTAAACTGAACTGCCATAACCCGTTAAACCGTTAAAATCGAACTGTTTTCGAATCGCAACCTGTTTAAACTGATCCGATTACAAACTGCTTAACTCAAATTGAATTATTTACAACCTAAATGGCTAAATAGTAAATACAATTAATGTTAATAAATGTAGATCTAATCAAACGGCTTAGGTTTATACAAAGGTTTATATCACCTAGATCTAGGCCAACGGAATTATTAATATCGTTTTAGATTACTTATTTATTTTAATTACAAGATATATCATTTGTATCATTTTCATTCCAGTAATAATGCTAGTCCACCCAAATTATCTTCATTGTTCCTTGATATTCATGATCATCCAATAACACTCAAAGCCTCAAAGGTAACATAAGATTGGAGATGTATGAGATTGCGTTACACAAGTGGCATAAGCATTAGAATATTACTGTACTAGTCAAAAAGGCGTACAATCATTCACATTATCACTTTATACAACTTTCTTATACAAGTATTTTGTAAAGGGGAGGACTAAAATGTTTATAAAACACATTTTTTTAGCTTTTCTTATATTAAACCAGATATTAAGTAAAAGAATTTTAATAAATACGGAGGCATCCCAAATCTGTAGCCACAATTATTTCATAACATTACCACAAATCCAGCAGATAAATAGCATTGAAATTAGAGTAATATCAACAAGCAATTAAAAAAAGTCACCATTTTCATTGATTAAAATTTACAATACATATACCAATACATAATGAAACTACTATCACTACTACCCAGATTAGATTTCAGATTTATCAACTGAAACATCATCAAGTTTAGGGTTGCAAAAAATGATACATTATAAGATGAAGGGAGGAGTGAGAATGTGAGTGATTTGGGAGCAGAATCTTGAAGCAGAATCTTGAAGCAGCAGCACAGCACCCAAGAGCAGAGGAAATAGCAGCAACAAGCAGGAACCAGCACACGGAATAACAGATCAGCAACTTATCAGAAGCAAGGAATAATATAAGCAGAAGGGACTCAACAGGAACTTATTTTTGTTTTTCAAAATTGCTCTCAGATTTACGTTTATCGTATCATCACTGAGCAATGGCTGTTTTAACTTAAAACTTGAAAAATGCTGCCAGCAAGTACATATACATTGAAGTCTCAACATAAATGACAAGGGCAACGATGATTCAAGAAAAATTAAAACAGCAAGCATAAGAAACATCAGCAACAAAACTTATCATAAATTCATAACACAAAAGGCAGCAACACAGCACCTCAAGCTGGCAGGAGGCAGGAACCAGCTCATGCAGGCATATAGGCAATAACAACTCAACAGAGACAACAACCAAAAGGCAAAAGCACTACCAGCAGGCAGCAGCTCATAACAAGTTCAAGCAACTTCAAAATTATAGCTTTTGTTTTTTAAAAATTGCTCTCAGATTTACATCACTGAGCAATGGTTGTTTTAACAAAAACTTAAGAAATGCTGCCAGCAAGTACCAAAATACATTTAACTATTTAAGTCTCAACATAAATGACAAGGGCAACGATTTTAAAAGTCTTGAAAAATGCTGCCAGCAAGTCTGAAAATAAATGACAAGGGCAACGATTTTAAAAGTCTTGAAAAATGCTGCCAGCAAGTCTGAAAATAAATGACAAGGGCAACGATTTTTCAAGATAAAATAAACCACAATGAGACACAAATACCAGTTATGCAGATGAAGCACTTTCGGCTTCAATCTCTTTACCAATAAGAAGGACGTCTTCCTCAACATCCGCTTGATAACCACGGCACCAATTTTGGGTGGTAATCAATGCCTCAACATTCTTTGGCAAAAGTTTACCCCTATATCCTCAAAAAGAAAAAAGCATACATAAGAAAAGCTTAAACTTTTTCAAAAGTTTCCAATGAAATTATGAACCTATAAATAAACATGAGATGTTTATTTTACTAGCCCTAAACTAGCATTTATTTTATGCACATAACTGCAGAAAGTGACACAATTTGGTCTTTTGTTAGGTAAAAAAGCCAATAACCACATAATCTGAACAACCCATCATCATTACTTTTAAATCGAGCATAATAAACAACAAAACAGCACAAATCTACCATTTTCCCGTAAAAAACAAATACAATCAACAACAGATTTTAGGCATATTTCGACATATTCAAGCAAGAACAACAACAATAATCAAATACAAAAACAGAAAAACTGTATTAAAAAAAAAACGAAAAGGAAAAAGTAATTACCTTTGACGGCTTGAAGGAGATTTGAAGATGGAGAACTGCCTGAACTGGAGATCAAAAGAAAAAATCAAGAATGTAGATTATCAGAACTTGAAATAAAAAAAAAAACCGAAACGAAAACGAAAAAAATCGAAAAAATTAACAAAAAAATTACCTTGAGGTTTGACGGCTTGAAGGAGAGGAAGATCTGAAAAAAAAAAAAAAAAAAAAAAAAAAAAAAAAAAAAAAAAAAAAAAACGAGAATGTAAAGTTAGAAATCAGAACTTTGGATCCAAAACAAAAATGAAACGAAAACAAAAACCCTAAATAAAAAAAGTAAAAAACCGAAACGAAAACGAAAAAAATCAAAACGAAAACAACAAAAATTAACAAATAATTACCTTGAGGTTTGACGGCTTGAAGGAGAGGAAGATTTGGAAAAAAAAAACGAGAATGGAAAAGTCAAAAATCAGAACTTAGATCCAAAACAAAAATGAAACGAAAACAAAAACCCTAAATAAACAAACCGAAACAAAAACGAAAAAAATCAAAACGAAAACAACAAAAATTAACAAAAAATTACCTTGAGTTTTGAACTTTTGACGGCTTGAAGCCTTCAAATTGAAGGAGAGGAAGATTTGAAAAAACAAAAAAACGAGAATGTAAAGCGAGAAATCAGAAATGTAGATCCAAAACACAAATGAAACGAAAACAAAAACCCTAATTAGGATTTTTAAAAGTTAAGAAGTTGAGCTTGAGATTCTTGAGAATTTCAGAACGAAAGAGTGAGAAACTGAGAAGTTAGAGAGAGAAACTATGAGTGAGTAAAACGGCTGAATGGCTGATAGAGTGGGTTTTTTTTTCTAGGTTTAGGTTTTACTTGTTCAGTTGATCTAACCGTCCATATTCAATCTCAACATCTAACCGTTCATTTTTTTTTTTTTGTAGATTCCAGAATATTCATCTAGATCTAACGGTCTAGAT